TATATATATATATATAGAAGAAATTCCAACCCTGTGAAAATGAAGCAGCATATTTATCTCCCTGTAATAAAACATAATCGTCAAGCATTTTACAGAGCAGTACAATATTGTTAGATAAGCCCAAATGGTACCTGCATTAAAAAAAAAATATTTGCACAGAATAATAGATAGAATTAAGGTTTTCATGATTGTGAGAAAGTAAAATAAAACAGAACAGGTTGGTATCGGAGCTAACTCAAATCACATTAGAAAAAAACAAATAATATTACTAAAATAAATAAACAATTACAACAAACATATTTGAAAGAGGAACTACAATGACATGACACAAGTAAACATTGCTCAAGTGTATTATTAGGGTGTTGGAGATCGTCTAGGTGGATTAGAATGGCTGGTGTGAGTCGAGACAACAAAGAAATGTTGATGACGTTGGAGATCGTCTAGGTGGATTAGAATGGCTGGTGAGAGTCGAGACAACAAAGAAATGTTGATGATTGCAAAAATGCAGGGCTAGTAAATATGGTGGCTGTCTTGGGTGATGGTTGTAAGGAGTTGGGGTGAATAGCAGTGGGACATCGTGAAGAAGGTGTTTCTTGACTGTCCTGGGTGGAAGCGGCACAGTGGGAGGGTTGGGACAACATGAACGAGAGGTGGTTTGGGCAGTAGTAACGTCTGAAGGAAGATGAGGGGAGGGGAGGGTGGCTGGGAGGCTGTAAAAAATAACAAACATATTGTTGTTGCGGGTAGCTCCAGCGAAATACGGTGATCGAGAGAGATGTCTTGGGATGCGGAAAGGATAGAGGAAAGTTAATCATCACCTCGGGAGAGAGATACAACCGAAATATCATCTAATCTCTCGGATACAACCCTCAAAAGGGATACGGAGGCCGACGATTATCTTGATAGAAATTTGAAATTTGGAAGACCAAAAACTGACCGTATCCAAAGCAAAAAAACACCTATATATATTGAGGAATTGTAGATAGAATAAGTATAAAATATAAATAGAAAGACAGTGGAAAAAAGTGGGAGACAAAGAAAGTTCTAGAAAATGAAGGATTAGAGAAGGCAAGGAAACAAATAGGAAAAAGGGGATAAGGTACTGTAGCGGCTACAATGTCGCATTTCGACAAGCTTCCACGCGAATCTCCGATGTTGGAGGGGAGCTTCGACTTTATTTGTTGAAGCTTGGGGGTCCTTGTAGTATGAAGTCAGGTTTGCGACAATAAACGTAGCAGAAACATTGAAGTCTCTTAGCAGTTTGATCTTGTAGGCGTTATCATTCCACATCACATATTAATAGCATAAATATGCATCATTTTTTGGCACATCTTGAGCTGGAGCTGCATATAAATGTAAGTTTCCACAATGTAACTCACGAGCCCTTGTCTGTAATTGACTTCTTTCCTTTCTCATACTTTGCGAAATGTAGCTAATAAATAAGTATGCGAGGAGAAATCAACTCTGTGATGAAATATATAGTAGGTCACACCACTTTCACTAGCAATCACTTAAGAGAGACATTTTCTTATTCACTGATAGAACCTAGATCCTATTGAAAATTTCCTTCCCCTTCATGGTCCTGAGACAAATTTCAAGGATGGAGTTCATTCTTCCTTTTTGGACGTCTTATGATGGGTATCATGCTGAATTGAATTTAACATTTAAATAACTCCATGTAATTTTCCCGACGTGACACGAATGAACCTTTTTTTTTTTTTGACGTGTTAGAACTCCCTCAGTAGGGGCAACTCAATAATGAGTATACTTATTTGAATGGTCTGAATTTCTCTTATATGATGTTGCCATGCTTTATGGTGTTAGTTCCTTGAACGTAAGTCTACCTTGGACACTTATTGTGAAGTTGTTTAAAGTTTCTCCCACGAGTTCAACGGGAACTATGTGCATCGTTTCCTCCTCAAATGACTGTTGATTCCCTCATTTTTTTCCTCACCGTCTTCAGTGTCTACTGTGTCATTACCCAAATTTTTAAGAACGCCACGCCCAGTGAAGTAAATCACATTGGTTGTGCAGTCTGATTCAACATGCCCAAATCGAAGGCCCTTGCAATACTTCTTGGCTAGGACAAATTTAGGGACCTTGATTGGTTTCACATGTTCTCCACCCCGACTCACCTTTCCCTCTGATGGAGTCAGCTTAGATGTGTTATCTTAGGTGTAATCTGACTGTAAGACCTATAGGTTGAGCATTGCCTGTAAGACGTGGTTGTCGCCCGATGATGTAGTCTCTCTACTTCTGATGCTAGAGTCTGGACCTTCTATCTATAGTAAGCTGATATGAACTGACGTTGGTTCTCCCACTTTATCTTTAGATTCTCCCATTTTCCATACGTTGGTTTTTATCTCAACCTCCTCTGATATTGAATTCCAAAGTGTCCTGGTTGGTCTTTTGAATCATTGAAAGGGATTCAGATCCTCATCCCTTGCTCCCCTTCGATTCTCTAGATCCCGATCGAGGGTAATCTCCCTGTAGGTTTCATCCTCAATATCTGAAAGCCTTTGCTGAAGTCGACCTATCTTTTCTTGGGTAGACTCGGGTTTATATTTCCTTGGTGGCATGACTAGAGTTTGGAGTGGGAGGTGAAAGAGGTTGTATGAGACTAATTGAGGGTGTAGAAAATTTAATTTGGAGTTGCTGATTTTGAAAATCAACAAAGAGAATTTGAGGTTATGTCAAATTTGGATATGGTTCGGTGGTTGGAATATAAAAATTTATATCACTATTTACTTAAAAATAGCATTTAAGGAAATGTATTTTTATAATATTATATACTTAACATTATAATATTATATATATTATAATATATAATATAATATAATATATATAATATATTATATTCCCACTATTATCACTTGTTAATAGTGGGAATATAAAAATACATTTCTTGGTTGTCCCACTATTTCCTGTTGTCACTACTT